GACCTAGCTATCGCCCTGCCTAACCAATTCGAAATGGTGGAAACCTGTGTGGAAACTCTTGCACAAGAATTTGTATTCCTCTCTAATAGAGAAATGCATTTACAAAGATACGCTTCCTTCTTTTCCATCTGCATTCTTCCTCTCTTTTTTTTTTAATCTTTCATCTGCATTTATTATTATTTATTTACCAACACCCACTACTCATAATAGAATTTAAATTACGTTATAAATTTAAATTAATTATCTTAGACTTTAATATAAAATTACGTTATAAATGACATCATCATTAAACAGAGAAAATTGACCGTTCTATTAGCTTCTATTATAATTTATAAAACTTTATTATTATAATGTTCAGGTTATTAATCTTTTTTTATTAATTATCTTGTTATAAATTTTGTTATATGAACTTAGTAAAAAAAGACTAGAATATTTATTTGATAAAGAGAAATCTATTATAATATAAAATTAAAATGAACAAATAGTATGTGTAGATATTAAAATTTTGATTATTTATTATTGTTATTATTTTTGTATAATATTTTTGAATAATTTTCCAATGGCAAAGTCGTAGACTCGCCACGTTGTAGACCCGTGGCGATGATATGGATGATGAGTTAATAAAAATAACCAACCACGTGAGATTTATACATTGTAAATACAAATCCCTGAGTGGAATCTGTAATTTTAATTGTATCAATGGAGACCTAAAACAAATCAAATTTGTAAAGAAAAGAGATGTAATAGAAGTACGAAGACTGATAGAGCCAACGACGAAAATAGATTTGGACCGAAGAGCACGACCCGAGTGTCACATAACAAATTTTATCTAGTTTCATCTAGAAGATTTGGAGTTGATATTGTATATGTTATTCCATACAATTTCATCTAAGTTTGAACGCCTAACAAATTTTTTAGGACGTACAACTGAAATTAATAAAATATTTTTACATGAGCCCATACACAAATAGAGAAAAAGATGTAGAAGAATACACACAAAAAATAAATATAAAATTTAAAGAAAATATACCTTCCTTAAACAGAGATCATCGAGAGTCCTTCCTTTCTTTTTTAGGTTTGTTTCATCTATAGAGCTGCATTGAAAGGCAGAAGAAACTCAAATATTAACTATCATTATCATTCTTTTATATTAGAAAAAAATACAGAAATATTCTAGAACTGATAAAACATTCCTACTTACCCGATCGTATTGTGTCTTCTGAGGGTGTAATAAAGTTTAGGGGTGTCAATAAAACCCGAAGTCTGAAACCTGGCCCGAGTCCGTCCGAAAATAATAAGGACATGGGCCTAAAATATATAGACCCATTAAACTTCGGGCTTTCGGCCTCGGACTAAATGGGCCACGAGCCTATTGAGTCGGGTCAGTCGAGCTTCGGGCCGGGGTTGAGGCCCGTGACTTTTTCTTTGTTTTTTTTTTAAACCCTTTTTTTCTACCTGAAGCTTTACCTAACTATTTTTAACCCTAATCTTCTTGTACTCTAATTCTCAATCTTTCTCTCCATTTGTTCTTCTTCTTCCGTTGACACTTCTCATCTTAAAAAAAAAAAGATTTTTTTGTTTGGTAGGTTTTTCTGTATTCATTTTCATCCTTGGTTTGGTTTCATCATCATCACCATCGTGTTATTGCACTTTAAATCAGGTACTGTTTATGTTAAAATTAAAAGATTTGTATTAAGTTGCATTTGTTTCTGGGTGGATTTTTCCTTTTCATACTTTTTTGTTTGTTCTTGGATTTGGTGAATAATTTATTGATTTGTTTTCTATTATTTTGATTCAAATTTTTATGAGTTCCATCGATTCAGATTTGGTAAACAAGTGATGTTGACATTAAACTTTTAGGGCACATATGTTATTTGTAACTTTTATATATATATATATATATATATGCATAACATACATTAATTTTTCTCTATCTAACACGTACGTTTTTTATTTTTACAAATATCAAATCAATTATATATGTCATGTATGTTTATTTACCTAATCATATGTCCGCAACTCATTAATCAAATATATATATATCATGTGATATTTATAGAGACATGTGTTCTATGCGGTAAATGATAATATTCTATATTTATCATAATTCAATTCTTCTTTAATTATCTTTGATTAATCATTTTGTTTCGATGTTTTATGATGTAATCTAGTTTAAGTATTTTTAAAAGCTTTTACTTTTAGATTATTCAGTTTCTCTTGGATTTTCTAAAATTAATAACATTATAGAATATCTTTTTATATTATGTTTGTTATTTGTTTTTATAAATTTATGTATCTTGTTCGTTGAAATATATATATATATATATATATATATATATTATTGTTATTGGTTTTAAAAATGTTATTGATTTTAAAAATACTTTCGTTGGATGACATTTTGTTGTTATTGGTTTTAAGAATATTTTTATTGAATGTTTTACATTATTATTATTATTATCACTATCATAAAAAATTATTTAATCCGGCTCGAACCCGCCCGAAGCCCTGTAGGGCCGGGCTCCGGGCCATCAATCATAAGCCCGAAAAATAAATGGGTGGGTCAGCCCGACCCGAAAAAATTGAAGCCCGAATTGAACCCGGCCCGGTCCGCTCATTTTACACCCCTAATAAAGTTTCTGTCTTTGTGTTTTCCGTCTCTGAAACCACATTACAAGGCAACAACATTGAAAAAAGAAGAAAATGAGAAATGTACATATTTCGAATGCTCCATGAAATGCGTACATTTATATTTTAAAAATGATAAACATTGAAGCTTCGGAATCGATAGTTGTTACCGAAAGGAAACATTTCATTAGAAAATTAGCTTACCAACTCTTCTAATGGTCTCTGCTTGATCTTCTGATTTAAAGCTCATATCATGGTTTAATCCATTATCCCATCAAGAATATAACACAATTTGCCCTTTTGGTACAAGATTCGGTTCAAAGCACAATGTGAATCAAAATGTAACCGAAATTTTTTTAAAAAAAATAGGGGAGAAAGAGGAGCTTTCTTAGGCATAACTTTCTTCTCGCAAACACAGAATGAATAAACACTAACAACTAACACACATTAAGCAAGAAAATGCAGAAACTCTGAGGAGATTGTTGTGACCTTCTTGGCATTCACAAGTGTGCGTAAATGGAGTCGTGTTGCATGAACCGCCTCCACAGTCGGTCCAATGGCATGCTATTAGTAGTTTTACGTGTAATATAATCCATAACAATGTTAGATGATATATATACAAAACCAAATTTGTTATGGGAATATATAGATTTTAAGTTTAAATGATTGCTTACTGTTGATGAATGAACCGTTCTTGGATTTGGTTGGTTTTTAGCTCATCTGCCGGAGAAAAACATCAATTCAAAAGCAGAAAATCCGAACCTTTAACCTCAAGTTGAATATCCGCTGCTTCTAACAATGGATTTACTTCCTCCTCGAAGATCGTTATCGATGATTTCTCTCCACCGTATGGGTTCCAACTCCAAAACAATTTTTTGGGCCGACCTAAATTCATACGGATATTACGAATTTAACATCCCAAATCAATGAAATTTCATCCAAGTTTTGATATTGACGGAGAGAATCGAGATATTCGTCGAGCTTGTGGCGCCATAGGGTTGAGGAATAAACGGAGAGAGGCTCGACGACGAAGTCCTTCCTCACGCAATCTCCCGCGACTCCTCCGCCACAAATTTCTCCTCCTCCTCTCTCCACAACGTTTTCAACCTGACTGTGTTTCCTTCGATGGAGAAACCGATAGCGTCCTTCTCCACCGTTAAACTTCGGCGAATAACCCCTGTCCACGGAGCTCGCGGTCGGCAATCAACGTCAACGGTTTTGGAGTAATTGATAATGGTATTTGAGTGAGCGAAAATGAATGGACATATCGCCACTTTATCATACATTCATAATAATACCAATTTAATTCTCTTAAGTTAATAATTTTTATCATTCAACTATTCAACGGAAACATATTTGTATAACGTACAATTCATTGAGAAAAGCAAGACGCAAGGGACGTTTTTTTTTAAAATTTTTAACCCCACTAAATATTAACTACGCAAGTTTCGTGTATGTATATAATAAATATGATCTTTTTATTACTCCACTACATTTCATAGTTAATAGCATGCTTATTACTCCACTGTGCGTTTGAGTTGGCATTATTATTTCTTGAATTAATAATCGAGTAGTGGAGAATCGTTACACGCAGATCACAGTTAATAAGATGACGTATTATGGTTCTGAGAGCTTGTATAGGTGTGAAATAAATGTAATTATTTTGGTTTATTTTGTTATTTTAATAACATTACTAAAAAACGACAGTTTGTTTATATATAATTTTATATCTATTCAAACAACTTTTGAACTTGGATTTTAATATATTTTTATATAAGTTTTTGAAAACCCTCTATTAAAAAACACATTATAATTGATGTATTTTGGATTATAAGTATCAAATAATATATTAAAAAAAATCATGTGTTATTCATAAACTTTTATATTATATGCATAACCTAATCTTCTATAAAAAAATCTAAATTTGTGTGTAATAATTAGTGGTAAACCAATCAATTTACATATAACTAATATAATTAATAAAGATTTTAATTAATTTAATAAACCAATGAAAAATTTGACACCTAGATGATGAGATGAAATTTTAGGTGGCTTCACCATATCCCTCCAAATCCAACTTTCAAATCCCACATTGAATAATCACAACTAGGGCGAAGTGTTCCGGAAATCAGTTCGAGTTCAAGACAGGAATGTATCGGATCGGTTTTTTCGATTTTAGAAAAATAGATATCAATCAATTTTTATATTATATTCGGTTCAGTTCGGTTTTGATTCCGATTTTTATTAAAAAAAGATAGATTTTTTAAAAAAAAAATTTGAATTTTTGAGAATTTTTAAAATTTGATTCGGTTCGGTTTTGGAAAACTCATTTTTCTAAAAATAATACCGTTCGAAAATTTAGAACAGTTCGGATTAAAAAAAATATCGTATTTTCCGGTTCGATTCCAAAGAATTGAATCGAAACATCCACCCCTAATCACAATTGATTGCAAAATAATAAAGGATAATGTTACAACCTCATTTTGGACAACTAAATTATTAAATATGAACCGCAAGACATGCTTTTTTTTAATAAAAAGCAAATATCTACGCAAATAGTAGACACTTTGCTGCATGGTATTAAAATATAAGTACAACATGAACAACTTCTCATCCCACCATTCACCCGAACCTCTAAATTCAACAAGACATGGGTTCGCCGTGCAGTAATCCATTCCTTACTTACACCCTGTTTGCATACAAAATCCATTCCATCTTTTTTCCGAAAAGAACCATTTTATTTTCCTCTATAATTTCACAATATTCTTCACAAAAAATAAGTATAACCAATCAATAATCACATAAAACTTTTATTTGATTTTTCCAATATATAATACACAAATATTATTTATACTCTCATATTATACAACACCAGCATCATACTTTACAACATAATAATACAATCTATAATAGTACAATCTTCAAAAGTTACAAATTATTTTTCGATAAATATCTCTTGAAATCTCACATATTCACACTAGAAAGTCTTGATATTCAGACATAGCATGATATGTTATTTTCATAAATTTACGGCGAAAACTAATCATTTTATAAAAAATTCTATTTACCGATACTTCGACAAACCAATCCTACAATTCGACAAATATTCTTTTAAAAATTCAAAGGAATATTATCAAATTATAAAATAGATTGATCAGGATATTCGATGTATCGATTTATAATTATAAACCTAAAGTTTAACTTTGCTTGGACAGAGAAATCGCGACGAACAGAAATTTCACAGCAGCAACTAAACCCCAAAATCGATAGATATACTCCAATCACCGCATCGGTAACTATATCATCAAGGTCCATTCCAATCTCTTGTGTGAAAGATTTCAAGTTGAAAAGATCCATCATGAAGAGTTATACCTGTCCCTTGACAACAAGGAGACGCCGAACTGATGAAAACAGTCCCCGGATCTACGACTAACCGGGACCTGAATCCGTAAGCAGATTCTGGATTTGCCGCATATCGTCGATTTTTCGCTGGCAGCCCCGGTGGTTCGACGCCGGAGAGAGATCAGCGATAGGATCCGCCGATTATACTCGAAGCTGCATTTATATGCAGGGAATTTAGGGTTTGACGGGGATTTTAGGGTTTGCTCTAGAGAGTTCCTCGCTCACGCGCCGCGGTTTTTTTTTTTTTTCCATTTTAAGTTTGGGCTCAAAGGAAAAAAACAAAAGCGCGAATCCAAGCTTTACCCAAATCCAATTGTGGCCATGAGCCGGCCCCATTCGCAGGCCTATCTACCGGTGGAAAATCTAAACGATGTCGTTTGAATGGGGTCGCGGCATACGTCATGTGACGTCACACCACACAAAAGTTTGAAAGTTGAAGCCACCTTTTGCGCACACACCAACCAAAGCTCGTTTTCAGAGGGAGTGAGAGAGGCAAACGATGACGACGACGATGGCGGCAGCGGCTCTTCGCAGATTCTCGTCCTCCTCCGTCAAGAACCCGATCTCGTTTGCTGCCTCTAATGGCGGTTCCCTCCGTTTCATGGTCATTTCCTCATCTGATTCGTATTTTCTTTTTCTCCTTTTGGTTTCGTCTTATCTCATTTTGTTCGTTTGTGTGTTTCTGTGCCCAGTCGTCTTTTCCAAATTCGGCTATTGCGGATTCGGAGAAATCTCGCGCCACGGTGTGTGATCTTCTATGGAAATGTTGTTTATTCTTTTACTTGAATCCGATATTGTCGAAAGATCAATGAAATTTTTCGCATTTAACTCTTTCTGTTGGAGTTTGGTTCGCGAACGTGATTTCTTTTGCTTTTTTCAGTGGATAAAACAACTGAATGCTCCTTTGGAAGAAATCGATCCCGAAATCGCCGATATTATCGAGCTTGAGAAAGCTAGGCAATGGAAGGTGAATGGATATAACGATGATGGTGATGCTGATTTGAAGTCTTTTGGAAAGTTTGACTGCTAAATTCGCGTTCTTGGCTAAATCCAAAAAATGGGGAACGGATGTTTTTTTTTGGTGCAATGATTTTGAATCTGGAGGACGTGATTTTCAGGGACTTGAACTTATACCATCAGAGAATTTCACATCTGTCTCTGTGATGCAAGCGGTTGGCTCTGTGATGACTAACAAATACAGTGAAGGATACCCTGGCGCCAGATACTACGGAGGAAACGAGTATGGAAATCTCCTTCCTTTTCTTTTCTATTCGATCGCATTCATTGGACGGTTCCTCTCTGGTCTTGTTAGATGAGGGGCAACTTCAGTTTGATGCAACTTCCTTGAAGTACTGAAGTTCAGAGAAAACTTGTTTTGTTTTGTTTTTCCGAAGTTCTTATCGATGTGTTGTTAGTTGTAAATGCTTAAGCTTTTTGCTTCTCCTCCACCAGGTACATTGACATGGCAGAGTCATTGTGTCAAAAGCGCGCATTAGAAGCTTTTCAATTAGATCCTTCAAAGTGGGGAGGTGAGTGATTTTTGCAGATTATATGCATTAGCCAATGTTAAAATCTTCTTGTCCTTAAAATATCAAAATGGAAATCAGCTTTATAGCATGATGTGACCTATTTTTTTTGCAGTCAATGTGCAGTCTTTATCAGGATCCCCTGCTAACTTCCAAGTTTATACTGCACTGCTTAGGCCTCATGAGAGGATCATGGCACTTGATCTACCTCATGGTGGACATCTTTCTCACGGTTACCAGGTGCTTGGAATTCTTTACAGATATTTTATCTTTATTGATCTCAGTTTTGGCCTACCTTTCTCATATTTAAGATGCTTTTTATTCATCTTTTTGTTGCTGTTATGCAGACTGACACGAAGAAAATCTCAGCTGTATCCATATTCTTTGAGACAATGCCATACAGGTTGGATGAGAACACCGGTTACATTGATTATGACCAGGTTAGACAGCTTGCGTCCTCTTATGTTTAAGCTATTTCGTTTTGTCACGTTACTTCCTCAACTACACTGAAGACAAAATTAGATTCATTCTGAATTTCTGATATAATTTATTGCAGCTGGAAAAAAGTGCTGCGCTTTTCAGGCCAAAACTTATTGTTGCTGGTGCAAGTGCTTACGCTCGTCTTTATGACTATGCGCGTATACGCAAGGTTAAAAAAATTTTCGCTGCAACTACCATGGTTGCGTGTTGTTGAATTTTTATGGTAGTATTTTTCTTTTCAGTTACAAATTTTTTTTCCTGATAAATTTGCAGGTTTGTGATAAGCAAAAGGCAGTTATGTTGGCTGACATGGCACACATTAGTGGGTTGGTTGCTGCTGGTGTGATTCCTTCTCCTTTCGAGTATGCAGATGTTGTGACGACTACGACTCACAAATCACTTCGAGGTCCACGTGGGGCTATGATCTTCTTTAGAAAGGGGGTGAAGGAGATCAACAAACAAGGGAAAGA